CCCGCTGTTTATGCTTATTTTTACCCTGTGAGAGGAGACAAAGCATGGATGAAGGAGGCGGCAAAAAAGGGTCTCAATGAGTCAAGGAAGGGCAAGGTGAAGCTGGGTTTGATCAAGTGGTTAAGCTCACGGATCCGCTGCATCATGCTTGTTGTCTCCATGACTTGAACGTTTGATGGCAGTACAATGCCCCCGGTATACCAGACCCGCCTTGTTGACCTTCCACGCCCATCCCGCTCTTATTGGAGAAGGCGAGAGTTCGTCTGTCAGCTCTGGAATGTTTTGTGGATGAGCAGGACAAAGGATCAGGAGCGTGATAGGCTCCAGGTAAGTTGTTTCCGCAGGCAACGCCCTAACCCATCATCGGATCGTCAACATCTTTGCATATCGTGATCTTCGCCCATTTGGATTATCACCTGGCGGTATTACCTGTGGGTAAGGCTGTGGACCATCAGAACTATATTGACGAGCTTTGACTTCAACTGAAAACAGAACTGAGTTGTTGATCAACTATCATGTGCGCGGATGGGAACTGCTTGCTGGACAAGCGCCGCATCAACAATGGCTGAGCCCACATGTTTCAGATGGCGACGGCGCTCGTTCAAAAGCTTGGGGATTTAGGATCATTGCAACTGGAATTTACGTAAAGCCTCTCTCGAACAATACTCCCCTGGACACATGGAGAAGGACAACAAGATACACAAGCTACGCTACGGACAGCGGGCAAATTTGTGTTCCTTATGGCTATCGTTTCTTTTTCTTTCTGAGGTCTTCGTTTGCCTCTTGCCCGGCGATTCTAGACTTGAGGCAGTAAATTTACACGAAGTTTGGAGAGACCAAGAGAACTGCCACGGTCCGGTGAGGTCAGTAATCAGCATTGCTGCAGCCGTCGTCTGAAGCTCCCAGACCATGGTTCAAAACCAGCCATCGTCAATTTTTTAAATCCTTCTTCGGATCCGTTTGAAACAGGCTCAGCAAATATATTCACGAGTAATTCAACCAGACAAACACGAGGCATGCTCATTTGGATGCCATAAACCTATACATGCCTGGCTCTGTTCTTCCTATCCTGGTGACCTCCAGACTGGGATGACAATCAAGTCAGATTATCACCAGTTGGGAACCCTGAACTTGGAACTCACTTCGCTCAGTTGAGTGGAAGATCTCCGACTTGACTTCATTGGCTTAAACTGGATACGGACATTGGATATGCAGACAGTTTGAGCTCATATTATGAAAATCGTTCCCTGATGATATTCCATTTCTCCAATCTACCTGATTGCCTAAATGCCCAAATACTGCTACTACACCGCAATGAAGAACTAACGAGCACATCATAGAGGAAGACTCCGGGTTCATGGGACAATGGAAATTTTGAAAGATCCTCACTGGGAATGGTTCCGGGAAATTATTTAATCGGCACTCATGACAATCGAAACATAACGGAGTTAGATTGGTGTATATGGTAACATGCTACGTTGTTTGGATCTACGCGGAATATTTCATCATAAGTGATGTTTGTCTGGTTATTCATGGCAGCGTGCCAAAGGGTAAGCACTGGTACAAAATCTGGATATGCCGCGAAACGGAATAAAAAACGGCCAAGTCCAAAAACAAGAAGAAAAAGATATAACATTAAATAACATGCTTTGAACACCAAACAAAATGTCACAGGGGAAAACAAAAGGTTTTGAATACCTAGATATATGTTCAAGGACTTTGTATTTGAACTACATGTTTTTTTGGTCTTCATTAGTAGTCCAATGCTTCACTCTGTTTAAACATCTTAAAACAAGAAGTGACCTTGATGAAGAAAATTCTAGTTTTCTAACACAATCAAACAATTGATTCGAACGATCTGTCCCACGAACATGTATGCAGGGAAACGCACCAACTTACCCCCAAAAAAAACAAAATGTATCAGGAAAACCCGAAAAGAAGAAGACAGAAAGAGAAAGGACACATTCTCCCATTCCACCATAAGGGCAACCTCAAGCATACCTATGCAGGAGAACCAACAAATTCACATGCAGATACTGTATAACTCCGTGCGTTAGACTTTCACCTTTCTTATACATCAGCAATAATCTGTATACTTGAGATACCTCTGGAATTGCATATCCCCGAATTCATTTCTTAAACCAAAACCCTAAGGCATCCCGTACATCGATTCTGTCAGTCAGCCTTGGAAGTTGAAAATCTAGCGCATGGAATTATACGGTACCGTAAAATACGATCACAAGTTCAGACGAAGATGGGTAACAGATTCGGAGTTCATTTACGCTCAGACCCAAATGTCCGCCCCTTTCCGCCGCCATCTGCCCCTGCCAGGGATTTCCCCAACGGTGTTCCCATGTCATGTCAGGCACGTGTTAAAGAGCGAAAGTTCACCACTGCCACGATGAGGGAGGGGGGTGTGTGCAGGTGGTTGGTTGGCTATCTATCGCCTTGGATAGATCATGAATGTTCCTAGAATGAACGGGATGAAGCTGGATTGTGATAGAACCTGTGTAATGTCATCCAAGTTTCGTTTCACTCCTGAAGGTACATACGCCCGATACTTGCAGGTGCATAGAACGACTTTCGAGACGAGAGCGTCGATTGTGTCGATGGGAGTCACCGATGGAAGTTCCGGCCGGATTGTCCACAACAGTCTCCAAGACAGAGGCCGCATATTCGCTAGAGACACGGTGCATGGAGCTATCAGTCAAGAACAAAAAGACCCCACCCAGTTCGCTTGGGTTCCAAGCCTTGGGACAAACCCACAAGACGCGACGAACACGCGCCCCGGTTTACAGGCCAACAGGGGACACGCGTCGACACAGCAATCAATGGCAGACAGTATTTTCACGAGACAAGAGAGGACCGTCAAACATTTTTGAAATCACCCTCCAGAAAACCCAGAGGGCGTTTTGAGTGTCAATTAAGCGCTCAAAAACAAAGTTGCAAAAGTAGTAACACCCCTATTGTGAATGACCCCTTGATGTGATGTACAGAGCATATGTTGAGAAAAAAGAGACCCCTCCTTTGCGCGTGATAAAACCCGAAAATGACAAGATTCGTGAGATTGGAACGCTGTAACCAAGTGGAAGTTTGTGTGGTAGCAAAAGTGAGGACCGACTATAAACCGCCCTCCTTTTCCTCCCCCTTGGGTTGTTGTCGTGTTTGCTGCCCCGGTGTTGTGGTAGCAGTGGTGGTGACATCATCATCATCATCATGATAAAAAGACGACGACTTTAGTGGTATATAAACATCATGATGGTTGTGTTGATGGTGATGGGAGAAGACGTGTGATTTGTGATTTGCGTCGTCGTTATGGTGAGAGAAGAAAAAGAAAGAGACACGCTGGCTAATGACGGCGAGACATTTAGCCACCGAAGCCGTAGAGGGTACGGCCCTGGCGCTTGAGAGCGTAGACAACGTCGAGGGAGGTGACGGTCTTGCGCTTGGCGTGCTCGGTGTAGGTGACGGCGTCACGGATGACACCCTCGAGGAAGGTCTTGAGGACACCACGGGTCTCCTCGTAGATCACTGTTGGAGGTTGACATGTTAGTTATTTGCGCATGGGATACAAGGATTCGAGAAGGTAATGACGTACTGGCAGAGATACGCTTGACACCACCACGACGAGCGAGACGGCGGATAGCGGGCTTGGTGATACCCTGGATGTTGTCACGAAGAATCTTGCGATGACGCTTGGCACCGCCCTTTCCGAGGCCCTTGCCGCCCTTGCCGCCTAATCGACAAATACTAGTCAGTCGCGATGTTCCGGCGCAGTGTTGAAGATCTGGGGTAACTCACGTCCAGTCATTTTGATATGTGTTGGGGAGAAGTGAAAAGTGGTAGGTGGTAAGGCTGAAAAAAGGCCGGTCGTTTGGGAGATTGGAAGTCGTGGAAGGTGGGAAGAAGGCGGGGAAGAGAGCGGACTTTAAGTACGGGAACGCGGTTGCGGCATGCAGGGCGGTGGGAATCAAATCAGATCACTGATCTTATTGTTGATTGGCTCAGGAAAGGCTCTTATGACCCACTTTGCGCAAACTGCGTCAACTCCCTTGGCTGATTTCGGGAACGCGGTCCCAAGGCGCACGTTCCTTGCAGGGGAGCAGACGACACAACACGCAGAGTGAAGACGTGCAGTCCCACCTCGAATTAATAACAACCAATGAGCATTTCTGCACGATTTACATTTCCAGAGTGGTTCACCTCGCGCATCAACGTAAACACTAATAAAAAGTCGCTAAACCAAATTGGGATTTTTTCCTCTAGCTTGCTGAGCAAGGGTCGTCTCTTTTCGACGGAGCAGCACAGGGATTGGCCATCGGTACGTACCGTTCGGGTGGCACATCCAGATCCGGGGACCGCATCTCAGTGGTGAAGTGGCAGGGCAGCAACGACTTTGGAACTCGCTGGGCAGCAGTTTCACGTCACAGCCCAGTCACTACCGAGTGATCCTATCTGCCTTCTTACACTTTGCTGTCTTCACGCACCTTTTTCACCAGTGAAGTGACCCGCAGTGAACATCTATTTTGCCTTCTGGATACCGTACCATGTGCATCAACCGGTCCCATCAGCCTTGCCGTCTTTTTTTTGCGGAGAGACCCATCCGGGACCTGAGAGTGGCGGCTACCAATACCCTAGTCTTTTTCAGTCATTTGGATTTCTGGAAAGGGCTGACGGGAGGGATCAAGTTCTGGATGAGGCATGCTCTTGTGAATTGTGGCGTTGACCTTCCACCTTGGAGTGTACTACTCTGAAACAAAGAGAAAGGTGTACCAAGTATATGGTATTCCAGATCTGGACTGCCATGGCTGCCTCCCATTTTCTGTGACAAGTGACTGCTATGAGCAAACATGTACAGAGGGAACGAAACCATCCATCATGATAACTGTCGGAAAAGAGAGCAAGGGAAAGCGCGCGAGAGACTTCCAGATATTATATTGCAAGCGGGCTTTGATTGTGACTTGATGGTAGCTGTGACGGCGCATCATTAACATGGCACTGAACTTGTTCCAGACGGTCGAGAGACTTTCAGGAGGAAAACGAGCAGCGCTGTGTTCGAATGAAAATCGTGAACAAAGGAAGCGCTGCTCTTGTGGCCCTTCTAGCAAGCGCCCCGTCGTATGAGCCCGTTTTTCCCATCCGCTTCACATGGTCGTTCAACCTTCAACCTCTCATGTCCTCCCTGTACGTAATGGCATCTATGGCCCTTGGATATGATTCCTTGCACAACAGAGAAAGTGGACTTGACCTGGTGACAGGCATGCGAGCCTTGAACCTTCAGGAGCTTTCACCTTTCCAGCCCTATGGGTGAATGTTAGTTGGGGATGTACCTTTGTACCTTTGATTCGGCCTTGTGTCCGTTCACCCATTCCACAGACGGGAATTGTTACACGCAGTGAATTGGACGGCTGGGTCGAACTAAGATTGCCTTAGTCGCTGGTTGTTACTAACCCCAGCTTTAGGGGTGGCCTGTGCGTCGTGTCAGGAAATTTGGACCAATCATAATTCTGCAAACCCGTGCCGACGCAGCATGATCCAAAATGCCCGCCCAAAACAGCGCTCTTTTGCCAGCAAAAACAAGGGCAGTTATCAGTGCAAAACGAACCCCGGTTCACACCCCGGTTTGCACGCCCGCAACAAAAAAAATTGGCAGTCGCAAATCAACCAGCAAAAAGCGGCATTAGCAAGGAAGGCGAAAAAACCGAAAGGCAGCAGCCACACACAACGCGCCGCACCACCCATTCAACCCAAATCAGCCAGCACCTGACCCCAGTCCGCACATACATAAACCTCGCACCCCCCACCACTTTTTCCCCTTTCCACTCCCGCCTCTACTTCTAGTCATCAACCAGTCTCGACCACCAGCGCAGGTCATCACTTAATCATCGCCTATCCATCAAAAACCACTTTATCAACACACATCAACCATCACAATGGCCCGCACTAAGCAGACCGCCCGCAAGTCCACTGGTGGCAAGGCTCCCCGCAAGCAGCTCGCTTCCAAGGCTGCCCGCAAGTCCGCCCCCTCCACCGGTGGTGTCAAGAAGCCCCACCGTTATAAGCCCGGTACCGTCGCTCTCCGTGAGATTCGTCGTTACCAGAAGTCCACTGAGCTTCTGATCCGCAAGCTCCCCTTCCAGCGTCTCGTAAGTTTTGACTGCCATCATCCACAAAATGTCACCTTGGCCTCACATTTCTAACGCGTTGCTACACAGGTCCGTGAGATTGCCCAGGACTTCAAGTCCGACCTCCGCTTCCAGAGCTCTGCTATCGGCGCTCTCCAGGAGTCCGTCGAGTCTTACCTCGTCTCCCTCTTCGAGGATACCAACCTCTGCGCCATCCACGCCAAGCGTGTCACCATCCAGAGCAAGGACATCCAGCTCGCCCGCCGCCTCCGCGGTGAGCGCAACTAAGCGACTCTTCGACATGGAGTAGTTTGCTTTGGTTTTTTCGGGGTAGTCTAGTCAAATTCTGGGGTTATATCACGGGGCGGTCATGACAACTTTTCTCGCGTCACACTTCGCACAACATTTGGGAATGCGCGTCTGAGTTGATGGATTTTCATTCACGGCACAACACATGGGGGGTAATCCGGCGTTCTTGATTGCGATGATACTACATTTTCTCTCTTCATCTTAGTACTTGATGGCTTGTACATTACAACGCGGGCACAGCGGCTGGCGAGCACACCGGAACAAAAGGACGGATGGCTTCGTACGGCAGCGCTGATGGCGGATTTGGTCTAATAAAGGGCCTGGTTCATGATCATTCAACGATACCCTGTCGACAGACATTGCACGTTTACCTTTTTTCTTCTTTTTCTTCCTGACAACAACCGTCTCACCAACTGCAGCCTGCTTTGATGATAGAGGAGAAAGGAGTTTCGGAGCAACAGCGCAAATGATATGATGAGAGTTTAGCTAGCGATTAGGCGTTATGGAGCATTGCTGTGAATAACCGTAGTGGTACTACAAAATGGCAACGCGTTGCGTTCATGTTCACGCGACTCGACGTGACTTCGACCTAAACATCACTGTGGCCCGCATATTGAGACGCGTCCGTTCGCACATTTGGACAGGGTTCGTCCTTCGTCGGTCCACCGTGGTGCGCGTGAGATGCTCCACCCGATGGACATGGCTTGCACGAACCATGTGAGGGTTGGGGATAGTGGAGATGATGGTTCATCCCGGAGATCGTGACGGCTTCATGAGTCCTTGTGCGTTCAACAACACCATTTCACTTACGTGATGAACTCGACAGAGATGGTCGATGACGTGTGGACTCCTTCATGGAACTCTTCAATTGGATAAACAGCGGATGACAAAGGACTTGGAATGAGTCACTGGCTAGATTACACTCTTTGCATCACGATAAGGTCTCGTCTTCGGGAATACCTTCACTGCCTTTACATCATTCATCACTACTGCCAGCTTGTCCTGTGATCCCAGACCTCTCCCTCCCGATCAACCTTCCCTTCCTCCCCTCCTACTCCCCTTCTCACCACTCACAAAACCGACTTCCACCCTCCATTCCCACTAACCCCCCTATCCAGCCCCAAAAACTGCACCACCTGCCCCAAATGATCAACCCCCCAAAACCCCTCCGTCTCCCCCTTGCTGTTCGTGCACGTAAACCACGGCAGCCCAAACGCCCCATCAGCAAATGCCTGATCGGTATTCTGCACCAGCCTCTGCTTAACCTCCGCCGTCTGCGCCGCGGCAAGGACCTTATCGGCAGCTGCTTCTCCGCCTTCGAGGGGAGAGGCCAGAACGGAGCGCAGGTGCGCGGGTTCGTGCACGGGCGTGCCGTTCACCCAGTAGGCTTTGTAGAGAGCGTCGAGGGCGGCGATTATGGCTGATTGGGATTGGGATTGTTGGGATTGAGAGGAGGAGGAGGCTTCGATGCCGGCGAGGACGCGCTGGGTGGGAAGCGTGTTGGGCGGGAAGTTGGGCGGCATGTCGGAGATGATGGGGATGGAGAAGGCGCGGGCCCAGCGGAGACGTTCGATGTTGATCCATTTGTCTTTGTTTTTGATGTTGATGGGGCGGTGTTGCCGCACTGTTTTTGTTTGGGTGACGTTAGTGAGGTGTGGTGATGCGATTGACGTGATAAGTGTGATGGATGAATGGATGGATGGTGGCGAAGGGGGAGGGAATTGGAGAAACCAGACCTTGTTCATCAAGCCGCCGAGGAAGATGGGGACGTATTTGATCTCGACATTCTTGAAGATTGGGTCATTCTATTCATGAGAAGAGATGTTAGCGATTGTTTTTTGTGGTATGTATGAAGGTGTTGTAAGTTGGTGAACTTCGCAGTCAAGTTCATACGTACCCGGAGGATGTGATATGCCTCGTAAGCGAACGGGCTGACAGTATCAAGGTAGAGCGTGATCTTGGGCTTGGGAACCATGGTGTCGATTTAAATGTTGGACCGGAAAAAGGAAGACTATTCTAGAGGATAATTTGATTGGAGTAGAAATAGTAACAGGTATAGAACAGATTGAAGATAACGAATTGATTCCTAGGAAGTATTATATGGTGACACCAAAGGCAGAAACCGTGAGGAGACTAGCGTTTAACACAATGATAGACAAGAGCCGAGGAGGTGGGAGATAATCCCGATTACAACCCCTCACTTCAATGGCTCGCCTCGTGTGGGGAAACACCAAACCTGGAAGCAACCAAGATCTGGGGTACGCAGATCTCGTTCAAGATGCCGGTATTCCATCGCTGCACGAATGTCATGAGTCCAAAGGAAGTAAACTTTACTCAATACTCTTAAACATGTTTATTCGTGCTTTTCACTGATATACCAGAGGGACAATGGTACCCTTTCTCTTCTCGGCCAACCATGTCAGTTCATCACCAGATTGGTGAAAGAAGTGTACTGTATCCTCCATTTACACTATACCGGAACTCATACATGGCTCGGGGTGTTCTTTGCCTGCGTCCAAAAGTTCTCCATCTTCATCTGAGATAAGAACTCTCTGGCCTCCTGGTCCGTCTCACACACTTTACTGCTCCATTTCTTGAATGACTGGGTCTTGGACTCGCCCTCAAATATGAGTTGGCACTTGTTATTCGACAAGTCCTTCAGCATGCCTTGTTCATCCTCCGCCTTCAACCAATCCCTCACCGCCGCGCCGGACGCGCTGGGTTCCTTGTCCAACGAGGGCACACTCTCGGTCCAGTCGATACGGCGCATCATCAGCTTCTTGTACGCATTGACACTGTGCTCGCCACCCTCCACGATAACCAGGCAGAACTTGGGATGCATGATACACGCGCCTGTAAGCGCGTGCTGCTGGGCGTTTTGCCCAATCTTGAAGCGGTGCTTGCCATTGGCGAGACTGCCGATCTTGAAGACAAGCGTATGGACGCCCTTTTGGACGTCCTTTTGCTGGTTTTGAGCAAGCTTCTCGTGCCGTTGCTCCTTTGTGAGCCTGCGCTCCTCGTTCTCCTGCATGTGCTTGTCAAACCGCTCCTGGATTTCGCGGTTGACGCGTGCCTCGACGGCCGTCGGGTCCTTGACGGCTTCCTCTCCCAGCACACGCATCAGGTTCGACTTCTTGACCTTGGGTGGCGGGGCCGGTTCCAGACCGAGACGGATCTTGGCTTGCTTCTCCTTGAGCTCCATCATGCGGCGTTGGCGACGGAGCTTCGCCTGCTCCTTGGGTGTGAGGTACATGGGTTTAACTTCAGTCGCAAGTTTGTCTTGGGGTGGCTCAATGGCAACTGGGTGCTGGATGTAGATGGTAACGACGCTATCGGGGGTGTTGACTTTTATCGAGTCGGGAATGTTGCTGTAGTCGTTGCCGTCGATAAGGCCCTGATCCCACCATTCCACATCTGGGGGCGCCTCGATAACGAAGGCCTTTTCGATGTCTCGATCCTCGTCCAATCCTGCTTTCCTAGCCTGCTCGGCGATCCTCTTCTTCATCTCCTCCAAGGCGGCCTGTCTCCGTAGCGCATTCGCCTGGGCAATGTATTTGCCCTTCTGGTTGAAGATGAGCTGCCGGGGCTCTTTGGGCTTGCCTTGTGGTCCATGACTGCTAGTGTCTAGGTAGGGGTTGGCTCGGGGCTGGCCTGTTGTTGTTGCCGAAGGTGTTCGATGTTCTTTCCTGTTGAATGAGTCTGCGACTTTCTGAGCGGCTCGACGACCTGCTGCAGCGGCCGCGAGAGAGTCACCGGGTTTGATGGGTGCGCCGAGATCTGCAAGCGCAGGATGGAGTGGTGTGTTCAAGCCGCCCTTGGCTTTGGCGCCTCCGACTGCTGCAGCGACTCGGGCCTTGAGTGCGGCCATCCGATCGGCGGCCGACTCGGGTTTCTGGACTCGTGATGTCGCGTCATGGCGGGGGCCGAGCCCACTTGGCTGTCCTCGATCCATTTTGATGTGCAATGCTGTCTGATAGAAAGAAAGAGTCGGGTTGCCGAGCGACAGAGAAAGAGGTCAATGGCCTTGCTGGGATGTCGTGACAAGGCACGAAGGTCGGGATTGGGATTGGGATTGGGGTCGAACTCTAGTAAGGTGGTTGGTTGGTGGTTGAACTGATGACGGGTTGATGGATGGGGTTTGCAATATCGAATTCAGATTGCCCTGTCAAGTCCCGGCCTTGATGGTTCCCGGAGTTTTAAGATTCCGTCGTGATGGAAAGTTGATGTGAAGTTGAAGTTGAGGAAACCAAACAAAAACGTGGAGTTGCAGTGACGATTGATAAAAGATGACAGGGAACGGAGTGGGCTGCCTGGAAAGCGAACGGATTGAACGTGAAAGACTGGGACGCTTGAACCGCTACTGACTGCAGTGCACTCACTGTTACTGTCACTGCAATGTTCAGTTGAATCCCATGGGTCCAGCGAATGGAGTCCCCGCCGGTCGAGCCAAGCCAGCCACCGCCCACCGAGGTGCGGGTTCCCCACAGGCGTAGCAACCAGTTTCTGCCAGCCGCGACCGCCAAAAAATATTCTTTCGCGCAAGCTCCATCTTCAAGTCCCCACTAATAGGCGAAGCTGCAGACTGTGATTGACTGCAGCAGTGGCACATAGCGAAAGGCTTTTGGCTGGTAAACACCCTGAAGGCTCAATTTGTACTCGATATCTTCTTTTTTTTTGAAGTTTTTGGCCTCGCAAGTTGCCGCTGTCCACCCCGACTGTGCATGCTTGCCTGCGGCCACTCTTCAGACAAAACATCCTCGCCATGGGATTTTAAGGATCTCGAATCCGTAACCACACACACCACCATTGCCCACCATGAATATTTCGCAGCCCGTGTCGTCCTCTCTGGACAGCGTCGAGTTCCAGTTCCTGACTGAGAACGAGATCCGCGCCATCTCGGTGCGCAAGATCGAGAATGAGAGCACCTTCGACACTCTGCTGAACCCCGTCCCTGGCGGTCTCTATGACCCTGCCTTGGGCTCTTGGGGCGACTCACTGTGAGACTCCCCCGTCCCTGTCAATTTGAAGGTTGGTGATATGAACAGTGGTGTTGACTGATGTGATTTTCTGTGAATAGCTGCACAACATGTAACCTTGGCCAGTCGCAATGTCCCGGCCATCCCGGTCATATCGAGCTCCCCGTGCCCGTCTACCACCCCGTCTTCATGGACCAAGCATACCGTCTGCTCCGCGCGCAATGTGTCTACTGCCATCGGTTCCGCCTGCCCCGGAGGGAAATCCACCGCTACTCCTGCATGCTCCGTCTGCTGCAGTGCGGTCTTCTCAAGGAGGCCCAGATGATCGACTCTTTCGGCGAAAGCGAGTTCGGTTCCACCATTCGCCAATTCCAGCTGGCCGACGTGCCCGACATGGAGGATGACGAGGCCGAAGAGGAGGGAAACAACCTGAACGATAGCACCATCCGCCAACGGGAAGCATACGTCCGCAATGTTCTTCGTGAGCACCGAACTAAAGTCACTATGCGCGACATTAACAAGGGCAAGCACGAAGGCGCCGCCGACATGCGCAGGGCTCTCGTCAAGGAGTTCCTGGCTGCCATCATCAAGGACAAGAAGTGCAGGACCTGCGACGGCATCTCTCCCGTCTACCGCAAGGATCGGTACACGAAGATTTTCGAGCGCGACCTCACACAGAAGGAGAAGGCCGCCATGGCCCAGGCTGGAAGGAAGCGTGCCGATGCGCTGGCCATGAAGGGCGGCAAGAAGAAGGATCACGATGATGACGAGGGAGTCGCCGATATCGAGTCGACAGCGAGCGAATCCGACAACAGCGAAGGTGAGGGCGAAGAGCTCGACGAGAACGGCGACGTTGTCATGACCGACGCGGGCAGCAAGTCCAAGACGAAGGAGAAAGCTGAGAAGAGGGCTCTTCCCCAGAGATACATCAGCTCTCTCGAGGTCAAGGAGAGGTTAAACTTCCTTTTCCAGAAAGAGCAGGAGATTATGGCCCTCCTGTTCAGCTCCAAGCCTCGTCCCAAGCACGCGAAGCCCATGACTGCCGACATGTTCTTCATCCAGACCCTCCTCGTCCCTCCCAACAAATTCAGACCCGAGGCTAGAATGGGCGACCAAGTAACGGAAGCCCAGCAAAACAGTCTCTACAAGCTGATCCTCAGAGGGTCGTCTATGGTCGCCCAGATCTCCCGCGAGGTTTCCGAGACCGCAAAGGGTAACGCCCCCGAAGACGGACGCCGAGCCAGGGATATCAACGCGCTCTACCAAGCGTGGACGCAGCTCCAAGATGCCGTCAACTCCTTGATCGATCGCGATAAGAACCCCGTCCAGGGTGCTGCTGGAAAGCGCAACGAGGACGGTATCAAACAGAAGCTAGAGAAGAAGGAGGGTCTCTTCCGTAAGAACATGATGGGCAAGCGTGTCAACTTTGCCGCCAGATCCGTCATCTCTCCCGATCCCAACATCGAGACCAGCGAAATCGGTGTTCCTCCGGTATTCGCCAGGAAGCTCACCTACCCCGAACCGGTAACGAGCCACAACTACAACGACCTCCGGAATGCAGTCATCAACGGTATGGAAAGGTGGCCCGGTGCCTCTGCGATCGAGATGGAGAACGGCCAAATCGTCAACTTGAGGAACAAGTCCGAAGATGAGCGCCATGCCCTTGCCAACCAGCTCTTGGCCCCTACCAACAACAACTTCAGCGGAGTTCGCAACAAGAAGGTCCACCGCCACCTCACGAATGGTGATGTCGTCCTCATGAACCGTCAGCCCACCCTTCACAAGCCCTCCATCATGGGTCACAGAGTCAGAGTGCTGCCGGGCGAGAAGACGATTCGTATGCACTACGCCAACTGCAACACCTACAACGCCGATTTCGATGGTGACGAGATGAACATGCATTTCCCCCAGAACGAGATTGCGCGTGCTGAGGCCCTTCAGCTCGCCGACACTGACCACCAGTACATCTCCGGCACTGCTGGCAAGCCTCTTCGTGGTCTTATTCAGGATCATTTGTCCGTTTCCGTTATTCTCTGTAACAAGGACACTTTCTTCGATCGCGCCAACTACCACCAACTCATCTACGCCGCTCTCCGGCCCGAGAGTGGTCACATTATGGGGGACAAGATTGAGCTTGTACCACCGGCGATCATCAAGCCGGTCCCCCGCTGGACGGGCAAGCAAGTCATTACCACAATCCTCAAGAACATCAAGCCACCAAACTGCGGCGACCTCTGGATGAACGGCTCTACACAAGTCAAGGCTCATCAGTGGGGTGACCACGCCCCAGAAGAAGGCCAGGTCACTTTCCGTGATGGCGAGTTTGTCACCGGTATTCTCGACAAGTCCCAGCTGGGTCCCAGCAGTGGTGGTTTCATTCACTCGATTCACGAAGTCTATGGCCCCTCAGCTGCCGGCAAGCTCCTCAGTTGCATGGGTCGTCTCCTCACCCGCTACCTGGCCATGGTTGCCTTCTCGTGCGGCATGGACGATCTAGTAATGACGCCCAAGGGAGAGGCAGACCGGAGGGAGAAGATCAAGGCCGCCGCCGACATCGGTCTCGAGGTTGCCGCCAAGTATGTGTCGCTTGAGGAGCAGAAGCCTACTCCTGAAGATCCCCTTCTTTTGCAACGCTTGGAGGAAGTCATGCGTAACGACAAGAAGCAAGAGAACTTGGATCTTTTGATGAACCAACGCTGCGCCCAACTCTCCAGCGAGATCACCAAGACATGTTTGCCTGCTGGTCTGCAAAAGAAGTTCCCCAAGAACCAAATGCAAAGTATGACAACATCAGGTGCTAAGGGTTCTCCTGTCAACGCCAACCTTATTTCCTGCAACTTGGGTCAGCAGGTTTTGGAAGGTAGACGTGTCCCCGTCATGGTTAGCGGCAAGACTCTTCCCAGTTTCAAGCCCTTTGATACCAATGCCAGAGCTGGTGGTTACATCGTCCAGCGTTTCTTGACTGGTATTCGTCCTCAAGAGTACTACTTCCATCACATGGCCGGTCGTGAGGGTCTTATTGACACAGCCGTCAAGACATCGCGTTCTGGTTACCTTCAGAGATGTTTGATCAAGGGTATGGAAGGCCTCAAGGTTTCTTATGACTCTTCGGTCAGAGACTCGGATGGTTCCATCATTCAGTTCCTGTTCGGTGAGGATGGTCTCGATATCTCCAAGCAAAAGTACTTGAACGATTTCGAGTTTATTCTCCGAAACATGACGTCTGAGCTGGCGCATCTCCACTACTCGGAAGAGGGCACTCAGGCTCTCTTTGAGCACAAGGACTCAATGATTAAGCAGATGAAGGCTGCCCTCAAGTCGAGGGGTACCCGTAACCCGCTCAATCCGATCCAGACGGATGTTGACCCTGCCTTGTACGCTTTTGCCACATCGGAGAACTTCTTTGAGAAGATGACCAAATACGTCAAGGAGAATAAGGATGGCTTGATCAAGGAGAAGAAGAGTGACTCTTCTGGCGTCGTTGTCCGCAAGACCGCCGAGAAGATCTTGGCAGCCAAGTACATCAGGTCGATGGTGGAGCCTGGTGAGGCTGTTGGTATCGTGGCCGGTCAGTCCGTCGGTGAGCCCTCTACACAGATGACACTGAACACCTTCCATTTGGCTGGTCACTCGGCCAAGAACGTCACACTGGGTATTCCCCGTCTTCGTGAAATTCTTATGACAGCTTCTTCCAAGATCTCGACTCCTGCCATGACGCTCTACCCCAATGAGGAGCTCTCAGATGCCGACTGCGAGCAGTTTGCCAAGTCCATCAGCATTCTTCCCCTGGCCGATGTTACCAAGGAGGTTACCGTCAGGGAGAAGATGGGCCGTGGCTTGGGCTACCCTCTTGCCAAGCTCTTCGAGATCAGGCTGCGCTTCTTCCCATCTGAGGAGTACTGCAAGACATATGCGATTGAGATCGCGGATGTTCTTGCGACTGTCGAAAGGAAGTTTGTGCCACTGCTTGGTCAGC